ATTCGACATAGGTATGTATGTCATTTTTTCATTTTTATCGACATAGGTATGTATGTCGTTTTTTCATTTTATCGACATAGGTATGTATGTCGTTTTTTTCATTTTTATCGACATAGGTATGTATGTCATTTTTTCATTTCTATCGACATAGGTATGTATGTCGCTTTATTCGACATAGGTATGTATGTCATTTTTTTCATTTTTATCGACATAGGTATGTATGTCATTTTTCATTTTTATCGACATAGGTATGTACGTCATTTTTCGTTTTTATCGACATAGGTATGTATGTCGTTTTTTCATTTTTATCGACATAGGTATGTATGTCATTTTTTCATTTTTATCGACATTGGTATGTATGTCGTTTTTCATTTTATCGACATAGGTATGTATGTCGTTTTTTCATTTTTATCGACATAGGTATGTATGTCGTGTTTTTCGTTTTTATCGACATAGGTATGTATGTCATTTTTTGTTTTTATCGACATAGGTATGTATGTCGTGTTTTTCGTTTTATTCGACATAGGTATGTATGTCATTTTTTCATTTTATCGACATAGGTATGTATGTCGTTTTTTCATTTTATCGACATAGGTATGTATGTCGTTTTTTTCATTTTATCGACATAGGTATGTATGTCATTTTTTCATTTTTATCGACATAGGTATGTATGTCATTTTTTCATTTCTATCGACATAGGTATGTATGTCGCTTTATTCGACATAGGTATGTATGTCGTTTTTTCATTTTTATCGACATAGGTATGTATGTCATTTTTTCATTTCTATCGACATAGGTATGTATGTCATTTTTTCATTTTTATCGACATAGGTATGTATGTCGTTTTTTCATTTCTATCGACATAGGTATGTATGTCGCTTTATTCGACATAGGTATGTATGTCGTTTTTTCATTTTTATCGACATAGGTATGTATGTCATTTTTTCATTTCTATCGACATAGGTATGTATGTCATTTTTTCATTTTTATCGACATAGGTATGTATGTTTTTTCATTTTTATCGACATAGGTATGTATGTCATTTTTTCATTTCTATCGACATAGGTATGTATGTCATTTTTTCATTTTTATCGACATAGGTATGTATGTCATTTTTTCGACATAGTTATGTATGTCGTTTTTTCATTTTTATCGACATAGGTATGTATGTCATTTTTTCATTTTTTCGACATAGGTATGTATGTCGTTTTTTTCATTTTTATCGACATAGGTATGTATGTCATTTTTTCATTTTATCGACATAGGTATGTATGTCGTTTTTTCATTTTTATCGACATAGGTATGTATGTCATTTTTTCGACATAGGTATGTATGTCGTTTTTTCATTTCTATCGACATAGATATTTTTTTCATTTTTTCGACATAGGTATGTATGTCGTTTTTTTCATTTTTGTCGACATAGGTATGTATGTCATTTTTTCATTTTATCGACATAGGTATGTATGTCGCTTTATTCGACATAGGTATGTATGTCATTTTTTCATTTTTATCGACATAGGTATGTATGTCGTTTTTTCATTTTATCGACATAGGTATGTATGTCGTTTTTTTCATTTCTATCGACATAGGTATGTATGTCGCTTTATTCGACATAGGTATGTATGTCATTTTTTCATTTTTATCGACATAGGTATGTATGTCATTTTTTCGACATAGGTATGTATGTCGTTTTTTCATTTCTATCGACATAGGTATGTATGTCGCTTTATTCGACATAGGTATGTATGTCATTTTTTCATTTTTATCGACATAGGTATGTATGTCGTTTTTTCATTTTATCGACATAGGTATGTATGTCGTTTTTTCGACATAGGTATGTATGTCGTTTTTTCATTTCTATCGACATAGGTATGTATGTCGCTTTATTCGACATAGGTATGTATGTCGTTTTTTTCATTTTTATTGACATAGGTATGTATGTCATTTTTTCATTTCTATCGACATAGGTATGTATGTCGTTTTTTCATTTTATCGACATAGGTATGTATGTCATTTTTTCGTTTTTATCGACATTGGTATGTATTTCGTTTTTTCATTTCTATCGACATAGGTATGTATGTCATTTTTTCGACATAGGTATGTATGTCGTTTTTTTCATTTTTATCGACATAGTTATGTATGTCATTTTTTCATTTCTATCGACATAGGTATGTATGTCGTTTTTTTCGACATAGGTATGTATGTCGTTTTTTCATTTTATCGACATAGGTATGTATGTCGTTTTTTTCGACATAGGTATGTATGTCGTTTTTTCATTTCTATCGACATAGGTATGTATGTCGCTTTATTCGACATAGGTATGTATGTCGTTTTTTTCATTTTTATCGACATAGGTATGTATGTCGTTTTTTCATTTTTATCGACATAGGTATGTATGTCATTTTTTCGTTTTTATCGACATTGGTATGTATTTCGTTTTTTCATTTCTATCGACATAGGTATGTATGTCATTTTTTCGACATAGGTATGTATGTCGTTTTTTCATTTTTATCGACATAGTTATGTATGTCATTTTTTCATTTCTATGTCTATGTTTTTTCGTTTTTATCGACATAGGTATGTATGTCATTTTTCGACATAGGTATGTATGTCGTTTTTTTCATTTCTATCGACATAGGTATGTATGTCGCTTTATTCGACATAGGTATGTATGTCGTTTTTTCATTTCTATCGACATAGGTATGTATGTCGCTTTATTCGACATAGGTATGTATGTCATTTTTTCATTTTTATCGACATAGGTATGTATGTCGTTTTTTCGACATAGGTATGTATGTCATTTTTTTCATTTCTATCGACATAGGTATGTATGTCGCTTTATTCGACATAGGTATGTATGTCGGTTTATCATTTTTATCGACATAGGTATGTATGTCGTTTTATTCATTTTATCGACATAGGTATGTATGTCGTTTTTTCATTTTATCGACATAGGTATGTATGTCGTTTTTTCGACATAGGTATGTATGTCATTTTTTCATTTCTATCGACATAGGTATGTATGTCGCTTTATTCGACATAGGTATGTATGTCGCTTTATTCGACATAGGTATGTATGTCGTTTTTTCATTTTTTTCGACATGTATGTCGCTTTATTCGACATAGGTATGTATGTCGTTTTTTCATTTTTATCGACATAGGTATGTATGTCATTTTCTCATTTCTATCGACATAGGTATGTATGTCGTTTTTTCATTTTATCGACATAGGTATGTATGTCGTTTTTTCGACATAGGTATGTATGTCATTTTTTCATTTTTATCGACATAGGTATGTATGTCGCTTTATTCGACATAGGTATGTATGTCGCTTTATTCGACATAGGTATGTATGTCGTTTTTTCATTTTTATCGACATGTATGTCGTTTTTCATTTTTATCGACATAGGTATGTATGTCGTTTTTTCGCCATAGGTATGTATGTCGTTTTTTTCATTTTTATCGACATAGGTATGTATGTCGCTTTATTCGACATAGGTATGTATGTCGTTTTTTCAGGGTTTTTTTTGACATAGGTATGTATGTATGTCGTTTTTTCGTTTATATTGAAATAGGTATGTATGTTGTTTTTATCGACATAGGTATGTATGTCGTTTTTTCGGGTTTTTCGACGTATGTATGTATGTCGTTTTTTGCTTTTATCGTCATAGGTATGTATGTCGTTTTTTGTTTTTATCGACAAAGGTATGTATGTCGTTTTTTTGTTTTATCGACAAAGGTATGTATGTTGTTTTTCCGACATAGTATGTAATTTTTTTGCTTTTATCGTCATAGGCATGTATGTCGTTTTTTTGTTTTTATTGACATAGTTATGTTGTTTTTTCGTTTTTATCGACATAGGTATCTATTTCGTTTTTTCATTTTTATCGACATAGGTATGTATGTTGTTTTTTCGTTTTTATCGACATAGGTATGTATGTCGTTTTTTCATTTTTATCGACATAGGTATGTATGTCGTGTTTTTCGTTTTTATCGACATAGGTATGTATGTCATTTTTATCGACATGGTATGTGTGTTGTTTTTCCGACATGTATGTCGTTTTTTTCCGACATAGGTATGTATGTTTGTTTTTTTTCAACTTATGTTTTTTCTGACATAGGTATGTATGTTGTTTTTTCCTTTTTTTCGACATGGGTATGTATGTCGTTGTTTTTTTTGACAGGTTTACATATAGATTTATTTCAACATAGGTATGTCTTAGTACGTATTTTCATGGATTCATTCATCTTGATAATTTTGTGGACATATCTTTAAATTGTGTCAACCATCTCACAGTAATTCTACTTTTGGGTCTGTGAAGCTGTAAACTTATATGGGTCAAGCGCCTAAGTAGTAGCAGATCTATATTTGGATAGGAGCCAACTATATGTTGTCAGCAACTGTTTGCTAGACAGAGAGTCTACATCTGATACGTATACAAATCAGTGTCATGTCATCTTTATTGTTTATAGTGATGCACCCAAATAGAAAGGAATTTGTGGGCTGTACCTTCCAGCAGAATATAAGCCACACTGTGTGATGAAGACTTTGCCATTTTGGTCCATGATGGCCATTTTGGCCATTTTGCCACTGGGCCAATGATTGTCAATGACTGTGAGATCTTGGTCAGCATGGGTCAGCAATGGTTTGCATTTTGTCAGCCATGTGTGTTGTGTTTCAATGTGTGTTGTCTGACCATGGCTGAATAAATCTAAGATGATCCACAGTCTGTTTCACGATTTCATGATTGTCCATCTCATACAGAAATAACCCCCACCTAACAGTATGTATGACATCTTTTAGAAGTATTTGATGTTTGAACTATATGTATGTATAAAAAATGTATTGTTTTTTTATATATGTAATTGTTATCGATGCATATATCTATGAATTTTACCCACTGGGATACAGACACAATTGCATGCATACACACCCATACACACACACACTCACATGCATACACACCCATACACACGTACAATACACAACTGTATTCTTACCTTTAGGCATCTCCTGCAGCAGTTTGAAGATTGAGCTCTTCTCAATGAGCGGCTTTGCTTTGAAGAAGTGAATAGCAGGTAGGAACTGGGCAGCAGACATCTCCTGCTCCTTTAACCGATGGAGGTGAGCATCCAGCTTCTGTTCGGCCGGTGTCAGGGTCACTCTGCCCCCCGTCTGTCTGGAAGTCTCCTGACGCATCAGCAGCTCCCTCTGAACAGGGTCAGGCATCGCATCAGTAACTCTTACAGACCACAGGAGGGACACAGTAGTGACCACAGCCTGGAGTAAGAGCACCATGTCCTTATGCACCACAGGAGGGCGCTAGAACGTCATCACACACTCCTTTACAAGAAGAGCGGGATAACTTGATATAATTCTGTAAAGACAGAAATACTGTGTTACATTTAAACTAATGACATTAAACTTCTTCCTCCTTTTAGGAAGTTCTGCTTTAGTTTCTATAAGTGGGTAGATATATTTGACAAACTCCTTTTAATGTCATAACACGATTACATGCTTCTCAGGTCGCATTAGTGTTGACAGAGACCATTCAGTAGTCCTAACATGGCTGCTGTCTTAGTCAAAATAAACCACAAGCTTAGTGGAGGTTAAGAGATTAACAACTGTGTTCTTGAAACAAAACTAAAAAAGCAGACATCTTAAAAACCACTCTAAAACGTTAAGGACTTACTGGTATCAGGAGCCTCTTCTGTCTGGTGTCCCAGCCCTGCGGTCCTGTCAAATGACTCCGCTTGTTTTCCACAAAAACTTCCGCTTTCAGTCCGGCTCGTCAGCAAAATACTCACTGGAACTGGATAATTGGGGCATTTTTGTCTGACAAATACCATGTGATAAACTAATGAATAAAGCATGAATGACCAGTGATGCAAAAATGAGTAAAAAAAAACTGGAAATCTCTCAGCAACTAACAAAAAAAGAGCAGAGAAAGAAAGTAATGATTTATATTTTATTAGGTTTTACATTTCCACAATAGTACATTTTCAGTTTGAAACACAATCGACAAAAAGAAAAGACAAAAAAAAAAAAAAACAAGAACCAAAACAACCACACATCTGTATAATTTAATCTGGAAACCTCATATACATACAGTGCACCCTTTGGAATGATAAGTCCCACACTTTTAATACATGACAGCAGATCGCTGTAACATCAATAAATTAACTCTGTGAGGTCATGTGCGTCCTTCAGTTACGTCTTGAAGATGTTTTTTTTTGTTTTTTTCCCCCACTGTGATTGGTTGGAGCAGACACCCATTAGCAACACAATGCCCCATACAACTTCTAATGTGGGGTAGAGGTTATGTAACTGTGGAAATGGAAAGACAAAGATGTTTTGTTTGTAATGTAATCTGGTCCAATTAGAGGACGTGTTAAACATCCAGCCAATCCCATCGTACCTGACTAACCGGTGTAAACTCGGAGCCTGTGAATGGGCAGCAGTGGAGTAAACAAGTCATTGCGACCGCGCAGAATGAAGGATGCACATCTGTAATGTTGAGTTACAGCTTCTATGATGTCCCACGATGCACAGAAATATACAGCAATACATCAATCACACAACAACGATTGCGTCTCTTTCGCTTCAGAAAAATCGGTTTCACAGACAAGAGGAATGACGTCTTCCATGTGACAACATAAAAAACAAAGAGATGGAGTTTTTTTTTTCTTCTCAAGTACAGAGAAGCTTCCTCAGTCCAGAAACTTGCGGTTCGGGTTGGCACCGAAGAGAGACACTCGGACTTCAGGCATCATCTGCGAACACAGAAACACAGAGTTTATAAGTACGACTCATCGTTTTTCTCAAACGCCTCTCGCTAAGAACTGAGGTTAAGAGTATTTTTGGGAACCTGGAGCTGAAGATCAAAAGGAAGTTAAGACAGGATAAACTGGATTTCTGCTTTTTTTTTTTTTTAATGTATAAATGTTCCACATTTTCTCTTCAAGTAAGCTGAAGGAAAGCATCTCTTACACCTTCTTCTTCATATCCTGTTGTGTTTTATTGCGTCCTTGTTTAATAATTGTTGTTTTGACATGATGTAAACTTCACAGACCTCATGTGTGAATCAAAGTGATCAATGCAAAAAGTGCCAAACACATCAGGAAATCACTCCATCGTTTGGTAAATGTTTTGCAAAGTTGTGCTAATGTGCGAGCTACGCTAATCTAGTTTGGTCAAAAGCATTCGTTTTAGCGGCTCAACTTCATTTAGGAGTTTATTCAATTTTACACCAATAGCCGTTGTATTCCTTTGACCTTACGTTTGGAAAACAACCATGGCAAAAAAATAAAAAATCTAATAAAAAGGAAAAAGCAGTAAACCACACAGACGTGTTTTTGATTTTATTATCTGCCGTATCAAGTGCATGAGCGTGTTTCAGCACACAGAGTACAGGACTCACACTCTTTTCTGGAGATCATTTCTCAGTGACAATTTAGAGGTGTGACATGTTAGTTTTTGTGCCTTTATTGGACAGATAGGACAGTGGATATATTCGGAAAGCAGGTAGAGAGAGAGAGAGAGAGAGAGAGAGAGAGAGTGGGGAATGACATGACACAGGTCGGATTCGAGCCCAGGCCGCCTGACTCCAGCCTCTGTACCTGTGGCACGCGCATTAACCACTGCCCCACCAGTGCCCCCTTATTAAATCGTTTTGTTTTATGATGTTGATGAAAAAATAGAGTGTTTCAGACACAGGATGAAAGAATAATAATGACATTTAACGTGCAGCTCTTCACTAAACGAAAGCTTCACTGATGTTATTACCGTCACATTTAGTTGATCTAATTTATTAAAGACTGCGCTCCTTATTAAAAATGATTTTTGTTTTGCCTTTTCTTATGATGTTGACAGTATTTACTTAAACCCTGAGAATATCAAGAACTTTTCCACAGGAGATTCAATAAAAAAATTTGATCTTAAGAATAGATCAATAAAGGAACATTCTGTTTCAACAGGAAGCAGATATTATATGTATTTCAAAATCTGGACTCCAGGATAAGAGGGAGAGTATTGCTTAATATGTAAATTATGTAACCTGAAACTTGTTTGCATGAGCTGTGTTTCTGTTCCCTACCTGCTGAGCCATGAGCTCCAGCCTGCTCTCCAGGGTGTTGGACACCTTGATTTTCCCGTCAGCGTTGTAGAGCTCGATACCTCCAGAGCTGACAAAGAGAACAAGAGACAAAAGTTGAGAAAAATCTGTTTCTTTATTTTTTATTTTTTTACTCGATGAAGTCTGATTTGAAGTTGTAAACGAGCGGCTGCTTACACGTCTGGAGAGATGAAGTTGTCCTGGTCGATGCGGACCTCCAGGTTGTTCTTCACGGCTGCTTTGTAGATGGGGATGTTCCTCTGGATGGACGCCTGATAGACGAGAGTCGATACAGTTTAAACACAAAGTTTCCTGAATGGATTCTGCACACTGAATCCATCTATCTGTCTTTAAAAAGTACCGACAGTAGATGGATTTAAAATGGAAATCGTAATTTCAGACGTTTTTAGAGCTTCAACATCAATCATTTAAAATGTTGATTTAAACACGTTTTGATAGTTGACTCACCTGGACCATCTGCATGTCCTGTTTACGGCAGCGAATGGTCACTTTGGGCTCCAGGAGCTGATAGAAACCCTGTGAGGACGGAGGAACAGTTATTAAACTTATATCAACATGGCTGTCCTGAATGTTACTATAGGGATGGGAATCACATGATCACATGATCATTTTTGATTTTGATAAACTTTCTTAATCCCTGAGGGGAATTCCGGTTTACACTCTGTTATTCAGAGTCATGCTTCTCTCACACACACAGGCCTGAAGACATGTTCCGCCTTCAAACACAAAGACTAAGATTCACTATTATATCATCTCTGCTTCTTTAGGAGCTTTTTCCTTCTTCTTTTTCTAATGGATGACTTTTATATTCATTCCTATTGTTTGCATGTACGTGAAAAAAAAAAGAAGAGCTGAATAAGACTGCATTAAACGAGGTTTATCTAACAAACTGGCCACTGAGATCATAAACAAACCTGTAAGATCAAGCCGTCCATCAGAGCTGGATACCTGGCCGGATCTTTTGCGACGTTACCGAGCCGCTGGCGGGCATCGTTCAGCATTTCCTGAGGTCACACACAAACACACACACACACACACAGATGTTCTAAAACACGTCTCATGTTTAAAATCACTAAAATATGACATCATCATTTTTAAACAAACTGCTCACCGAGATCATGTCGTCCCGGGCCTTCAGCACCTTCAGGCGAGCCTGGTTCATCAGGTTGGACATTTGGCTGTTAAAAAGGACAAATCACAAACACATTGGGTCCGTTTAGATGTCTATGTTTGTGCGTGCGGAAACACTGGAGACAGCTTGGTGCCCACGTTACAACACGGGTCATTGTGGGGAAGAAGGGACGTAATCAAATTAGGGAAACTCAGTGTCGCTCATACAGATGTTTCTTTGTTCTGAAAAGGGTACGAGTCAGGAAAAGGAGGACTTCGGGCGTCCTGTGATGTCTCGTAAAGACGACTCACATTTTCTTCTGCTGCTCGATCTGCTTCTCTTTCTTCTCGTAGTACTCCATAATCTTCAGCCTCTGAGTCTGCACCAGACGGCCCTTCTCGATGTTGAACTCTTCCTCTGCCTGCAGGAGGAGACACAGTTAACCCTCCATAGATACAGTTAAATGTTTATTATTATTAATCACATCTTTATTTTTCTATCAGCCTAAGGGACAACCGAAGACCCTTTAGAGCAGAGATATTCAACTTTATAATTCAGAAAGCCAGGGGGCCAGACGAGCAAGCCCACCACAGCAGTACAGGACCAAAGATGTTCTATTAAACGGGAGCACTCTGCTGTTTTTAAAAACTGTTCTGTGGCAGCAATGACAGTCGTTCACAACTTTTCCCCCCTGTTTATAATTTATTTATATTTTAAATGAAATGATCCGCAGGCCAATCGGGTGTCAACCGCGGGTCGGAGATGAATAGGCCTGCTTTAGAGCTTTAATATTTAATGATAGACTTTTCTTTGTGAAATCGGCCTGTAGAAAGAATTCTAAAACAGTGTGTCGTGTTGTTTAAACAGAAACACTGATCAGTCTAATTTTAGTCCTGTGAATAAATGTCCACAGGCGTTTACCCTCCTCGACAATTATGACACAAAAACATCCTTGAAATAAAAACTAGAACAGCCACAGAGGACTGTTTTAATTCATGTAAATATTCTTATAACTCCTTTTCATAGAAATAATTTAAAAAAAACATATTTTTCTTTTTATGATGCCCTGATATCAACGACAAGTCAAGGAAAATTACACATAAAATATAAATGAAATGTCATCTGAGAGAAAAAAAGGCTTCTGGTAAGAGTCTGCTACATTGGTAAGAGATCATTTTTGTGTTTTTAGTGCCCTCTAGTGGTGAAAGTTACACATAACATGCTCTGATTGGGAGGAGTATTTTTTTAATTTTTTTTAAGATTTATTTTTGGGCTTTTTGTGCCTTTAATGGAGAGACAGAACAGTGAATAGAGTCGGAAATCAGAGACAGAGAGATTGGGGAATGACATGCAGGAAAGAAGCCACAGGTGGGACGTGAACCCGGGCCGCCCGCTTGAGACGACAGCCTCCATACATGGGGCACGCACACCAACCACTGCGCCACCAGGGCCCCGGGAGGAGTATTTTGAATGCTATGGTAAAGATCTCTCAATAATAAACCGAGTAAATCGTGTTTGCTGTTCATCAATCATGTTGGAGCCATGGATACGTCAAAGTATATTTGAAGTATATTTTGGCATTCTGGGTTATTAGTTATTTTCTTTGTGGGATTATATTGAGTAGGAGGATAGCGGGTCACCCAATGAAGGTTGCAGCCCTTTAAAATGTGACACACCAGAAGTGTTTTTTGTCCCTGAAAAATCTCATCCTGCTTAATTTTAAAGTCTAACATGCTACTCATGCATCAGCATGTTTTCTCGCCTGGTCTGAGACCGACACGCAGCAGAGGTGAAGGCATTAAAGATCAAAATAAATCAGAATCTTTTCAAGTGTTTGCTCTTGCAGGTCATATAGAGACATTAAATATAACCAGTTAAAAAGCTCTTCACAGGAGCGTTAAATAAAGCACCACCATGTTTTTATACCTTTGCATCAATTTCCTCCGCCTTCTCATTGGCCTCCTGTTCAATGAAGGCCATCATGTGCTTGATCTGCAGAAAGGAAGAAGGACAAATACGATAAATGAAGGATTCAGATTCACACATTTTTTTTTTTTTGGTGTATGTTGAGCTTCTTGGTGAATCCTCGTTCCTTCCCCAGTTGTGGGCTAAAAAAATACTGAAGACACGGAAAGGTTGTTACATACAGCACACTTCAGTATCTTCAAAAAGTGAGACCCTGAAGTATTTCCTCAACCCGCTGTGAACTCACTGTCACTGCGGTGAGGAATGTTTCTGTGCATTTTGTTCATGGACACCACAACACAAACTCCAGCTCCACACAGGGGGGGATATCACACAATGATGAGTGCATGTTTGTGACATCACATAGGTGGGCGGGGCTAGCATCAAAAAGGAGGTTGACTATGTATTGCACGGCCATAAAATTGTCAAAGATAATAATAACAATAATAATAATAATACATTTAATTTGTAACGCACTTTACATTTTTGCAAAAAAATCTCCAAGTGCTACAGGAAGAAAAAAATAGAAATAAAAACAAATTTAATCAACTAATGAAACTAAAAGCAGAAGGCTTTGTTAAAGAGGTTTTTAGGGCCCTTTTAAAAGCATCAGCAGACTGTGGAGCCCTCAGCTGCTCGGGGAGAGCGTTCCACAGACTGGGAGAAAAATGAAAACGACTCAAACTTTTGATGGAAACTTGAATGTGATGAACTACTTCAACACAAGCATTTGGAATCAGCTCGTGTCGGTGGCGTCCCATCCTGCACGCTGAAGGCTTCTCTGTTAAAGAAAACGATTAAGCTTGCCACAGAACAACGTGTTGTATTCTCTGCTTGCTCCAAAGTTGTGATTCTCTGTTTCTGAATGTGTTCAGACCTCGAATAAACCAGAACACTGCTCATGGACGAGCTGGATTTCACAAGTTGTTTGCCTCTTGCTACACAAATACTGCTTCAATCTAAAACAAGCTTACCCCAGTGACATGTGCTCAATGAAATGTGAGTGATTTCAAGCGTTATTTAAACTGAATTAAGGCAAATAATATGAATAAAAGGCTCACTGTAGACTTAGTGATTGATTGAATGAGTCTAACACTCAAATGTTACACAAAAAAAAACAGATTCAGATCAGTTTACACAAAAGTGGATTATGATGAAACATTCATTTCTCCTGGAGATGATAGGAAACATCATGTTGGACATTTTTAACTCAAGGCATGAAAGCTATCAAAAGACAGAAAATTCATAAATTGACCCCCATACATCTTGCATGCTTGACTTCTGCAGCGTGACATGAGCTCTTCTCTAAAAAAAAAAAAGGTTATTTCCAGTGTTTGCTAAGATTTCCCATTTAAAGTGTGCAGACTGTGGCTCACTCCCAACTTCCTCATCAGGCCGTGGCGTGTGTTCATCATGTGACCACTTTGGAAATAACACCCTCTCCATCACAGCCATATCTGGCATGTTACACAGGCTTCAAAACGGCTTCAAATGTTTGATCCCTACGTGCTAAACAGCTGTTAAACATTAAGGTTTGTCTACGTTTCACTGTTAACCTCCTGCAGCCTTTCAATGTCATTCTGCCCCACACTCAGACTTACAGGACACATCACAGCTTATAGAAACGCTTCTTCATTTTTTTAAATAAAATCATTAGCAGTGTATGAAATAAGGGAACAGAAGAGGTTGGATTGTGTCACATTTCAAGGGTAAAAAGCTTCATTACCTGCTTCTGTACGTCGGCATCGCTGAGCGCCATGGTTGCAGCTGTCAAAGATCCACTCGGGCCTGCGATGAAAAAACCACAAAAAAAAACACGTAAATTTAAATGTAAGCGACACACGACGCGGTCTTTAAGAGCACGGGGTTTAAATCTCATAATATGAAAGATAAAGAGATAATTTTATACCCGAAAATCACAGAGGAGAAGGTATGAATTAATCGGCCGCAGTCGTGACTCGTAAAGATGTCTACGGAGGATCAGCTGATTTGCAGCGGCACGTGATGTTTACTTCCGGCCGGGCAGCCAATCGGGTGCGAGAACGAGTGACGCGCTTATCCTAGCGTTGAAAAAAAAAAGAGGAAAATAGGGACATTGTCGTTTATTTATGGAATTATTTATAATTTTCACGGCTCGATGACATTAGTATGCTATCAATTTATGTTTTGTTCACACTTGTAAATGTTTTGACATGTATTTTAAACCGAATAAATAACCGTAGTTTAATCCTACTTTTTGATAATCTCTTTGCTTTTATGCATTTACCAAAGATGTTTATCCTTCTTATTTATTGAAGCAGTTTAAAGAGTGCGTTTGTGGATGTTTGAGACCTTTTTAACATCTGTTGTAACTACGAAAACATTCATTCAATGTGTGTAGTGTTTTAGTCGACAAATTAAATCAAACTATTTTCAGTAGGCCCCTATGCTACGGAAGAGGATTAGGGCCACACATAAAAAAAAGAAATAGAGTTCTGACTTTATTCTCAGAATTCTTAGTTTAAAGTCAGAATTCTGAATTTAAAGTCAGAATTCTAAGTTTAAAGTCAGAATTCTTAGTTTAAAGTCAGAATTCTTAGTTTAAAGTCAGAATTCTTCGTTAAAATCAGAATTCTTAGTTTAAAGTCAGAATTCTTCGTTAAAATCAGAATTCTTAGTTTAAAGTCAGAATTCTTCGTTAAAATCAGAATTCTTAGTTTAAAGTCAGAATTCTTCGTTAAAATCAGAATTCTTAGTTTAAAGTCAGAATTCTTCGTTAAAATCAGAATTCTTAGTTTAAAGTCAGAATTCTGAGAATAAAATCAGAATTTTGAGTTTAAAGTCAGAATTCTCAGTTTAAAGTCAGAATTCTTAGTTTAAAGTCAGAATTCTGAGAATAAATCCTCTTCCGTACTATGCAGACACATCTCTTCATCATTACATTTAGTGTAAAAATGTTCTAATGACGAATAAGCAATGATTCCTTGTGATTTTCAAAAATCAGATTGCAGCAACCATTGTCCTTTATTTTAATTTGACAATGCCCAATGATCAAAATACTTCTCTGTGTTTAGCAGTAAAAATAGCAGCAGGTATAAGATTGAAGAATCTGTTATCAGGTATCTAAATAGTCTGTTTGGTACTTAGCTCGGGGGAAAGGGGCAGAGTAAAATTTAATTAACTTGTACCTATTATTGAAATCTTATTTACATTCCTATTCTATTTGATTAATATTGTTATTACGATATTTCTACTGCTATATTGAATATTTTGGAGCAAACTGTAAGGATCGAATTTCCCTCTGGGATTAATAAAGTATTTCTGATTCTGATTGTTGGATTTCCAAGCAACTGTTTTTTTTTTTTTACAAAGAACCAAACAAGAAACACAGCTGAGCCAGAGTGTTATGAAGCACGGGGCGATAATAGTAAAGATACAATGCAGGAGAGAACATAGAATAAGATAGATAAATAAATAAAGCACTACTTTCACTCAACAGATGGCAGCAGGTTAGGTTTAAAGTTTTTAATCTACTCTGAGAATGTGCCTCATTAAACCCCTGCTGGCATAGTTTCCAGTCTGTTAACGCGTCTCTCCAGTAGAGGGAAGTAGAACCTGGAAAGGTTAGTTTTAGAAATAGCTCTTCTCCCAGTCTGACACTCGTTTTTCCACTCGGTGTCACCGGCTCACAGCACACAGAGGACTGACTGATTATCTGCTGTTTGGGCTGAGAAAACATCACAGCTTGTTTACATGGATAAAACACAAAACCCCCTTTTGACCCTCCACACACAGAGCAAAGTCTGATTTAGAAGATTTGATATTTATTCCCATTTATCCAAACATTTAAAGTGTTGATTAGTCAGCAAAGTCACCATTGACTGCTCCCCGGCCAAGTGTTATGTCATGGATTTGGGAAGAGGGGAGGGTGAGAGAGAGAGAGAGAGGGAGGGAGAGGGAGAGGGAGGGAGAGCACAGCTTGTCCACCTTGATACTCCTGTGGCAGCTCCAGCAATGCATGTCTGCCTTCCTGTTGTTTTGTGGCTCCGCGTCTGAACACAAATCTCTCGCTGATCTTCCCATCTAGCAGCTCCTTCAGCAGCCCGCCAGGAGGACGCAGGTACGCTCTGACATTTACTCCTTTTCTCACTCACATAGAGGAAAGTTTTTAACAAAAGGAGGGAAGAATGTAGACTGTCTTAAATCGAGAATGTGACCTAATTTTCTGGCATTTGTGTGCCATGCTTTGTTTGAAAAAAAAGAAGTGTTATCTGTAAACTTGTCAGAGCTCGAGAGGTCATTATGGGTCACTCTGGTGTTGTCAAGGGCAAAATCTCACCTTGCACAAGCACAAGAAACCCCCCCTGTTAGAGCGTCTATTCTCTTATCCACCATTAACCCCCTCTTTGACATTGAAGTCTGACCCTTTTGGAAAATTTGTCCCCAGATATCAGATGTTTCCTAGATCACACATTAGCACAAAAAGAGTGGCCTAAATCTCCCTGATCATTCACCTCTGCGGGAGTCTGTTATGGCTGCGATGGGATCATTGGCAATCCAATTACTCAAGTAGGCCAGTAAGGCACAGGAGTGGAAAAGATTGATTGGTTTCTCAGAAGGCAACACATGCTTTAAAGTTTCACAATGGAAAAGAAGTCTGCAGGCTGCTCAGCAGGGGGGCAGACAGTTCGGCAGCGACGGTCATTAAAATTAGTGGCGTCTGGGTGACGTCTGTCTCAGTCTGGAGAGTGAGGCCTAAAGGATGTGTGCACAGTTCGGCAGCGACGGTCATTAAAATTAGTGGCGTCTGGGTGACGTCTGTCTCAGTCTGGAGAGTGAGGCCTAAAGGATGTGTGCAAAGACAGAATCACAAATCAATGATAACATGCAATATAGTCCGACCAGTCTCAAAATAAATGCAGGTAAAGAGTGGAAACACACACATTGGTCACTATTCATGAGCTGGTTTGGCTTTTTTGAATGAACCTTAGTGAACTGGAAATATTCCATGAAGGGCTCATAAGCCTTGTTTATTGATTCTGTCCAGCTTCTGGCTTTTATTGCACAAAATGTTGTTGCATAACAGGCAAGAAGAATGTTTGCTTTTCCACCTGTGAGGCCGAACAAAAGAAATAGTGTTGAACTAAATGAGAATAAATACAAAACTGATACGACACTTATTGTGTCCGATGTAAACAGGGTAGCTCTATGAAGAGAATTAGAGACCAGTCTGAAAGTCTTACTGAAGACCTCGATCGAGTTCTCTAAGGGTTAAATAGAGGAACTGAAGAATCAAGGAAGTCAACTCAAAGCTAAAACTTTGGATTTGTTTGCACTGTGATAAGCTTTAATGAAAAGATAAGTTAATCATTATTTTATTTTAAAGCAGATGTTCACAAAGAAACTGAGGATGATATAATAAACATTCAGACAAACAACAGTCGGGCCGAAGAGGGGAAGTCCAAAAAAACATAAACAAAAAGGCAAGAAACAAACGCAAAGGCTAACCCTAAAGGTCGACAAGAATAATTCAAACAAAAGCAGGCAGATGTCAAAAGGCAGTTAAAGTAATGTAGGAATTCCAAAAAAAAAAAACGATCCAAGAAACTACAATAGTATCATATCTTCATCTCATATCATCTTAATGTGTCGGCATCAACCAGAGAAAATAAAAAAAATGATTTTTAAAAACGACTGGAAGTCCCTCATCAGCCTTTAGAACGATCCAAACTTCTCAAATGTTTTATTTTTATTTGAGCTGTGAGCTCTTCAAGAAAAGATGGATTTTATGTTTAACTGCTGCTTATTTTTACAAACCTGAAAATAATGGAGTGAATAATGGGTCAGCCAAAATGTATTTCGTCTAAGTTTGGATTCATATTAAATAGATATTCTTGCCCTGAAGTGTCCTCTGTAGAGGAGTGTTCTTAGTTAAGATAAGCTTATTAGTTTTTAATATTGATGTGCTTATATTTCCATTATAGAATCCCAGTGCAGTGTTGTTTTAGTTTTTATGAATGAACTGATGCATCTGTTTTAAATGAAACATTTGACATCAAGCAGAGAGTCGAGTATGCAGGAGCAACTAAAAACTGAGGAGATTATTATGAAATGAATTATGAAACACAAGATTTACTTTTGAACCAACAAAGGACCCAGCATCCATTGTGTTTTACAAATGAGTTTCAAGCTGTTGCCTCCATAGTTGAAAAATGGAGCCACTGTTGATGTGCAAGAAATTGCAATTCCCTGAGTGTCCACTTGAGGGCTAGCTGCAAAATGTTAATTTTGACAGCAGAAATTAACATATTTACAGTCTGGTTCAAAAAATGATTTCAGTCTCAATAGCTCATGTCGTTATTGGTTCTTTACTGGTATGGAGGGTGAATGTTTTTATAACTCGTGTTTTTATTACATCATCATTATTAGGGACGTTGCTGATCTGAGTGGCTCCACCTCTTTACCTGTTGCTAGGTTGACCGAAAGTTAATTGAAGACAGCATTTCCAATATGGAATCATTGCCTCAGCTTCAGAAACCAGTGGATGATGGCACAGAGACTACGTCCATGTTTTATACAATCTGTGACATTTCCAAATAGAATGGCGTCCACAAATATTTTAAATATTTGTGTTTTTAGAAGTAAGGGTTTAGGTTTGATGTCACTTTCTCCAAAAAATTAAACCATTAAATCCCCTTACTTAACCATTATTTATGTTTAAGAAAGTGACATTCTCAAATTTCTTAATAATCACAACTCAAATGATGAATCTGAGATATAAAGGGTCCAGAGCGCCGGCCCAGAAATTCTTCTCAACTACTATTTAGGCCTTCTTTGTGATAATCCGTTATTTTTGAATTGCTCAAAAAATGTTTTTGTTTTTTGCTTAATTAAGAACATGATTACATTCGATTTACATAAAATATGTTCTTTGAGCAACAGCAATAATTACAACATAAAGCCACCATATGAACTTAATTACAGCCAAAATCTTTAAATACAATTGAATGAAATTTAAAATGACTGAACTTCCTGAAACAA